TTCACGTTCTTTTTGGGGAACAGTTCACGAGAGTTTTAACTTTCATAGGTGGTGGCGGTGGTGGTGGTGGTGGTGGCGGTGGTGGTGGTGGTGCTGTGGTGGTGCTGTGGAGCACTGACACCAGATCGTATCCCTCACCGCTCCATATTCATTTCCATGTCTAAACACGCTTGATCGCGGGAGAGTTCACTTGATGGACTGCCGGTCACCTGACCTGCATTTGATCAGGTTTTGCCGGTGCGTTCGACACGCACAAACCGAGAGAGAATGCACCGCACTTCGACATGAGACCGAACCCACGCATCGCGTTGGCTCAAGGTGAGCGACAAAAGTGTTGCTGGCCCGCTGGGAGGGTTGGGAGACCGCGTGACGTTCGTTTCGAACTAGGACTCGAAGTAGATCTTCATACGGTAGGGGGGCAGTAGGGTTACAGCACATCACATTTTTTCAGGTTCCGTTGAACTTTTTCATTCGTAGAGATTGAAGCCATGGCAGAGCCCGCAGACCAAGCTGGATCCGCACGCCACTGAGAACGATCCAGAGATCGCTCGCAATCAAGAGTGCCTCGTGAGCAGAGTGTGGGTGATCAGAGAAGGGTGGGTCAAACAAGTTTGGAGTCTTTGGAGACACAAGTGAATCAGCTTTCGCAAGCCGTTCTAGCTTTAGGTTCCCATGCGCAGGCCTCATACTTGTTCATGTGACGGGCACAAGGCTCTCAAACACCGAAGCCTCGCAGAGCTTGGCCGTTACCCCCGTGCATTGGCGTTGCAACTCATCGCATGGTTCTCAGGCCAGAGCAAGGCGGCGATTGGAGCCGCGTGTTATGTTCCAAAGATAGAATTCGCAAGAGTGTTTAAACTTGAGGTTGAGTCACTTGATTCAACTGATCCGACTCATTGCATGGAAGTTTGCCGGCATTGCATAGCATGCGCATCACTGAATTCAAAGCATTCGTAGGAATCCAAAGGACTTGGAGTACTTTTCAATTTCACACTGTACAGTTCATCTTTTGTCGCCCGTCACATAGCAGCGATGGCTCCCAAGAGCAGATCGAAAGTGGTGATCAACATCGACTCGGATAGCAGAAGTATGCAATCACAGCAGTGGATCCGCATCGGCTTCATTCAATGAAGCCGGATGGGTCCGTGATTGCAATATCACTATGGAGTGGTGGTGACAGCCTGCCGCCAGTGTATCTGCGACTAGGGCGCTCAGTGTCGAATGCATGCCTGTTGAACTCGGTAGGAAAGAACTTGCTCAATGAATGCTCAAATAGATAACATCATAAGTTGCTTGAAGCTTGAAGAGAAAAGTGAAAAATGACAACTTGTGCGCCTGTTCGACGCAATGCTTGCTGCCCAGTGTTCGATCCAGCTGAAGCCAATTCGATCCACGAGTGAGCGAATATCCTATAAGTCGAGTGAACTTGGAAGAGACAAGATAAAGAGTCTTTCTCCTTGCAAACTGGCACCCAGTTTGTCGGCGTCTTGCAAATTGGCACCCAGTTGCTCGGAAAAGGGCTTTAGAGTTCGTCTAACGAAAAGTGAGCAAGGTTGTGGGGGGGGGATGGTGCATTGACACCAGATCGTGTCCCTCACAACTTCATATACAACCTTGTTCACGTCCGTGTCTAAACACGCTTGATTACGGGAGAGTTCACTTGATGGACTGCCGGTCACCTGACCTGCATTTGATCAGGTTTTGCCGGTGCGTTCGACACGCACAAACCGAGAGAGAATGCACCGCACTTCGACATGAGACCGAACCCACGCATCGCGTTGGCTCAAGGTGAGCGACAAAAGTGTTGCTGGCCCGCTGGGAGGGTTGGGAGACCGCGTGACGTTCGTTTCGAACTAGAGTTAAAGTAGATCTTCATAGGTGGTGGCGGTGGTGGCGGCCACGGGGGCGGTGGCGGCGGCGGCGGTGGTGGTGGTGGTACCCCCACCCTCAATTATTTACAATGTTTTTGTTTTTGTTTCAAGCAGATACCAAATACATGTGCTTGAACTCGACGTAATTTTGGTTGTTTTTTTGTAAGTCCTTCTGACGTGCAGCAGGCAGCTTCAGACCGGCTATATACTTCCAAATGCTGTGGATCTGCCCTCACCAATTATGTATTTAAGTGTTTTATTGAAGAAAAAGCAATTGACACAGTGACTCCACCTCTGAATTATTTCCACAATACAGTATTGAGGGCATCTAAAAGGCATAGTTGCAATTGCACTGACTGGATTGCTGCATACCTCAAAAGTAGATGTCTCTCCTCTAGTGTCTGGAGCCGCGTAGTTGAAATAGTTGATACTGTGTAACATGATATAAGCTGCTTATGACATGCGCAGTGATGATCCTCACTAATTCAACAGAAACCTTCACGAATCTGGGCCAGCGGCAAAAGACTCTGCCAGCCCATCCCAGTCATTTTCCTGGGCCGAACCATTTCCGTCCACCCGTATGGGAGGCCACCGGTGACCGTGGGTGGCCACCGTCCTGTGCCACGGTGGATTCATCGGATTCTATGAGGGGGATTGCTTGCGGATTCGCAGATCGCGACCGTTCGCTTCGCGTCCCGACTGCTCTTCCGTTCGTTCATTCTACATGGGGCGACTACCGCGCTCGCCTCGCTCCTGCTTCGGTCACCGCGCTTCGCTCCGGACGACCGTGACGACCGAGACGACACGGCCGCTGGCGGGAACGTTCCAAAGCAATTAGTTTCAGTGGGGGGTCTCCCCATTCTCACGAGTGTTAAGAAAACCTGATAGCACTGCAGCTTGGCCATCAATTCTTATTTTCCCGAGTCCGTTGCAACAAACACTTCAACATCCGCGAAATGCTACACTGCTACCTCTCCAAAAGGCAACATGCTCCACGCACGTGGGCTTCTACAGTAACAGCCACAAAAGCGTGCAAAATCTCAAATCCTTGCACACGATGTGACCTTGCTGTCGATTCATGATAAGCACTCCCCTGAGCAGGTTCCCCCAATCGCAGTGACAGCCGACCCGTCAACCGAGCTTCGAAGAGCTGCTGCAAGAGCTTCCCCTCCTCGGTGTCTCGGAAGATCGTGGCGGTCACTTCGGCATACCTCGCGACCGAGCTCAGCTCGCTCCGTCAAACCGAGCACAAGCTTCTTGGAAGCGGAAGCCGGTGGAGCAGTCTCGGGTGTCAACGCTGTGAGACCTATCTAGTTATCTGATGTTGTCTGGGAATGGTGTAGTCCAGGTTAGGTCTGAGCCAAGGATGATGATGGATGACACTGTTCATCTGTGAATGCCTAGAATCTGTGGCCGCCTTTCGAGAGAAAGGGAGATCGTCGCAAGCTATGGGCAGCCCATGGCCTTCCGCCCACAGGTTATCAAGCCTTCGCGACCGGTGAAATGATCCGGATGTTCATGGATGTTCTGTCGCTTCGGTTGCCCCACCACTCAGTCGCAATGAAACTCGATGTTCCTCGTCTCTCGCTCACATCGGTCTCCGTACCACGGGCTCCGTGCTCCGGGGCGGCGCACTTCGCTTTGTTGGCTTCAAAGTGCACCGGAGCATCCGTCCAGTGTGTGGACGGTGAATGATGATGGACCACATGGTAGTCCTGGCGGTTCATCCGGCGTCTGTCCACCGCCACGGCGCGACGTCTGTCTCTCCCACGTCCGCCGGTGGCCGACTGACCAAATCGACCGGCCAGTGGCCTTTGTGATCCTTTGTGATCCAGTCCTCGTTGAAGACATTGTCCTTGCCATCAAGGATGGTTACGGAATTCACATATTGATTCCCCGGATCCTGAGGCCGCACGGCCGTGAAACTCTCGAGTCGATCCGCCTCGCCGAGCAACAGCCGAATCGTTGCAGCAACGAGTGTTTGCCGAAGGAAATGGATCTGTTCCTCTTTGTTACGAAAGAGAAGGGATGGGGATACCTAGAAGGTTTGGCTTCATGAAGCACCGAGGATAAATGGCAGATACTTGAGATGCTTCTCTGCCTGTGTCTGGCCTCATCTATAGTCAAAAGAAACTGATCTTTTGGTCAAAGAACCCTCCGGCGACTCCATTTTTCTTTGGTGGTGAGTTTTGAGATTGAAGATTTGACTCTAGGGGCCACCTTGTGCAATCATCCGCTGATGTGTATCTGCCATATCGGAAACGATCTCACCCATGAAGCTGGTGGAGATCTGCCATGTCTGCAGGAAATCTTATTCTGCCGAGATTCTGACTCCTCCACAAAGGCATGCCAAAGATAGGAAATCGCGCACAAAAGCACCATGCCTCAAGGGTGTGGGCCCCAGTGAAACCAAACCCACACAAGACTGGCATGTTGTCATGCCCCGTGATCCGATCTGATCGAACACATTGGCGTTCGGCAGCCTTCAATGGAACAGCTATAGCAGCTATACCCTATACCCTATCCCTATCAGGAACAAAGGTGTTACCGATCGACAGGTCGACAGCCCAGCGCCGCCTTCGACGTGTGGGAAAATCCAAAAAAGCAGGCAGAAGACGGGGCTCCACATGAACAAAGCCAGCCTCGGGCACGGGCCGCTTGAGGAGCGCAGCTGTACTCATTCTATGTGTTTCTTGAGTGGCTCAAGGGGAGAAGAGCTACGCCTTCATGCCAGGCTCAGGACTTGAACGCCGAGCCAATCCCGAAGATACTGGTTGGCAAATTCCGACAAAAAGTAATGCAACTTGGGATTTGAACCAGGAGTTTTGAAGGGGGGTGGGCCACGGTACACCTTTCTCCTTTTTTGAACACCTCTTTAATCATCACAGTGGGCATGCCGAACCTGTCTTCCTGCGCACTTCCGCCCTGATCGTATGCCCGAATATGACCGGACATCCATCACAGCCTGGAGCGGGCAAAAAGCAAATCATCCTCAGGCTTCCAAATCTGAGTCACGGGAAGTATTCCTCCCTAGAACTGGTGCCTGCCAAGCCACGCCACACCATAGTACGCCACCATGCCAAGAAGCGCTTGTTGAACAAGCTGCCATTCCTTGTAGCGAGTTAAGGGAATGCTCCTGACTGTTCGAACATGTGTGCATGTCCACATCCAACTCACGATACCTGAGGGGATGTCTACGTGGAATCTCTTCGACTATGGAATCTCCACCCTGCTGCTTCATGTTTGGCTCATGGTCAATGACCAGCTGTTCCTCGAAGACTTCAATTAAAACCTCCCCCATCTCCTGCTTCAACAGATCCAACAAAGTGTGAATTTGTTGACCTTCGCAACTATGACCCAAGACCTTATAGTGACCTGCAGCTGCACACATCTCTTTGATTGTGAGAAGAGGACGGATGCAACGGCGTGTGACTTGACGGTGGCGCCTGCGTCGCATGTTTGACCACCACTACATGCTCCATGATTCCGAGTGGCGAATCCGCACGGTGATCGTGATGATTTTGTTGTAACTTCACTCACTTGACAGACCCGCTTTTCTATCCGGTCGGGTTCTTCACCGGTACCCCAAAACATGAGACCGACAGAGTCATCCGCGCTTTGCGCAGGGTGGAGGAATTTGGAATGGGACACAGATGGAGAGATGGACATGACATGACGGAGCTGGAATGGACGCATGTTTGACGTCCCATAAAAAAGATCTGTGATCTTTGGCCTGGTAGCCCTGACTGGTGGGCTACGTGCGTGCGAACGTTACACCCTTTTTGCTTCATTGGCAGCTTGCCCCCGCATCCTCTAAGCTGATTGTATCAAGTGCAAAGTAGGTGGTTCACAGCTTCTTGAAAAACAAAAAAAAGAATGAGACATTAATACTACTGTAGTGATAACAGCACGACTTTCGCCAAGCATCTCTGCGCTTTGCCAGGAGTGCCACAACACTAATTCCCATCCAGTAGAGGGTAAAGCGGGGGACATAAATGAAAAACCTCGGTCGTGCGCTCTGCACATCTTGAGAACGCTCTTATTCGCAGAGCGCCATGTTTCATGTCTGATTTCTGCCAGTTCTTCGGCACCTTCGGGATCACATCTCAAGGCAAACCCATTGGAAATCCCCGGCTTCACTTGCGAAGAACCGCGTTTCGGGGGCCAAATGTGTTCAACATGAAGCGGGTCGTCAAGTGGACAAGTGGCCGTGAAACCCTTCGGAGGCCATGTTTAAATCAGTGTAGACGATTCATTACGCTGCATCCGGAACATGTCACCGGCATGAGTGTGCAGCCTCCTCAAAGATTCCAACCCTTTGAGGTATGCTCCCCAATGCCAGGAAAAAACTTCTGCAAGAGACTCATGACAGCTGCATGTCGCTCCAGCAGCTCAAACACTCTAAGGCTGGTACGATGAAATCTTGGTCCGGTCCAAGTCCAAGTTGGTGTGTACATCATCCACATCATTGTGCCATCGATGATGAATCTTCATGTGACCAACGCTATAGCTGTTCCTTGCATGTCCAAGTCAATCATCCGGATCAGGGTCTGTCTAGAAGTTGTAGGAGTGGTGGAAGACCAGAAAACTTCTCAAAACGTGTTGCAAAAAACATCCTGAGGACTGCACGGGACAACACCGAAGAAGGGCGCCATCCACCACTCACACCTGCTCAACCAGAATTCAAGGAAATCTCTGGAGTCAGGGAACGTGGAACTGTGGTCCTTTGCTGGAGCCAACCTTTTACGTATGATCCAACGATTATTTATGTATATACTGTATATATGTATATAATTGTATATATATATATATATGTGGTTTCACTTGTCATATAGTTGTTCTTTTGTTGCCATGGATTGCACTTGTCCAGGAAGCTAGAGGAGATGGAAGAGATTTTTAAAGAAGAAACGGCTCTAGCACTTTTCTTGTCAATCTTCCCCACTGAAGATCATTGCATGTGTCTCACGGATTGTTCCCATGCCTTGCACCAAACGGTCAGGTTCCAAGCTGGACACACCAACTAGACATGTTCAACCAAGCATCAGGACGTCTCAGCCAAGGACTTTGAGGAAATCATGCATGACTGGGGGCCGGGCACATCATGACTGGCATATCATGTAATATGCATGTCTTCCACCAATCCCTCCTTTCCAAATCAGTCCAAGGCACAAATAGTTCAGAATTCTGAACGGCTTCACGAAGTGACCCACATGGCACTGAGGCAGCACGGTCGTGGGCGAGAGAGTCGTCGTGGGTCGTTTCAGACTCCAACAGGTCGGAACCCCGTCGCGTCTGACCCGACCTTCCCTCTACCCTCCTCCCAAACGGGAAGTAGATGGCCCCACGTGCGTTCGGAGCCGCGTCGTCCTTTCGGGTCCCATCCTACCACGAACGCGTCGTCCCCCCACCGGTGCTTCTCAGAGACACGTCCGAACCCCACCGGCGATACCACGGCGTCACACGACAACGGAGCTCGACACGTGGCGGACCTTTGGCATCCGGCGCTCGGGAGAGAGTTGGCCTTTGAAGAGCTTCTTTTTCGGGCTTTGACGGGACGTGCCCTGTTTCTGCTTTGAACTGGATGTGAAAGACCTCGCCGTGCACCTGCCTATCCCACGCAGACTGTCCGGGTCCAGCGGATCACGGGCCGAGCGGATCACCGACCCACCCGTCGGTCGTGGAAGACGAGGCTCATGACCTTCCTTGTGCACCAACGTGTGCGCATGTCCAAAGAAGCGAAAGCGTGGTCCGCCACGCAAGACATGGTAGATGATCTGGAGAGAGCACACCGGACCGGCCGCACGGCGGCTCCGAGATCGGTGGACGGAATTGGGGATGCGAGACTTGGTGGCAAACGACAAGCCATTTGGTTGTGGTGGTCTCACTATAAAATACCAAGCCAAATGGTACCACTTCTTTCGTGCGGGGTAACAAAATGTTGGGCCACAAGAATTAGGAGCCGGATCTATACTATCTTTACAATTGGCTAATCCCCAAGGTCAAACAAAATCCTACAGGAAAAAGTCGCTACTTTGGTGAGGGTCCTTCTCTGATGGCCGCCATCCTGCCACAGAAACCTCCTGAAAATAGTGGTGGGGCATTGGTGGGGCACTGATCTCAACTATATAAAGAGTAGATTGGGCACACCATGCCCTGGAAAACTCCATGGCAGTTGTTTTCTCTTTCTCTTTCACCTTTGAAGAACCACCACCCCCCCCAAAGGAGCCCAGACCTGCCCCAGACCATTTCGTTGAAAGAATTGTCAAGGTATGTCACGGTGGTCAGTGCAACCTGAGGCTGGGATCCCTCAGGTTGATTGATTTCCTCTAAGGGTCAGTAGAATTCGTCCTAGTTCAACGCTCTGGAGACGTCCTGCAGATTCTTGGGCGCCGAGCCAGGGTAGAAAATTCAAAGCCTTGGACCCGTGTGTCAAACAGTGACTGCACCCTCCACTGCGGGAAAGGCAGGACAGAATCGCCCATGCAAGTCACAAAGCATGTGTCACATATGTCATACATGATGCTGTACACGTGATACATGCAATGTATAGCCTGACAGACCGCTGCTATGCGCATCAATCATCCCCGCACTGCGATGCCGTCGAAGACTCTCATACAACCAACAGCTACATGACCTTGTACGAACTATGGCGAAACCCCACCGGGGTTTCGCAGCCATCCTCAAAACAAAGGCCTCTGAAAATGGATCTTCTGCCATCTTCAACATGGGAGCAAATCACCCATCTCAGAAAAGAAAGAAGAGACGGGTGGTCACAATGTCCAAGACGGGGGCCACGTTTTTGCGTCTTCCAGCCGTTGGTGGTTTTTGATCATTTGTGTCCAGCCGTTGTGCATCGGAGTGCATCGGCCAGACTCTGAAAGAGGCGATCGCTATCGCTCGCCGAGGCGCCAAAGTGGTGATAGCGCCACATGGCCCAAAAGAAGAGCGCAGGGATCATGATGGACAGCAAGGCAAACCATGGCCTTGGAAGGTGGACTGAAAGAGCTGAAAGAGGGCCCTTAGAGCTGGTAGGGGTTCGGATGTTGTTATGTTCCTGAAATCGGTGCATCGATGTTGAGAGGATTGTGTTGTTGGGGTGGAAGAGGAAGATCCAGTTGACCCTCATCCAGGGGATCTTTTTGGTTTCAATAGGTCTCATACAGTACAGGTGCATGGAGAGAATCAGAGTTCAGATCCGCCAATCTTTCGCCAAAAAAACGTTCTTCGGAGTCAGCTACCACAAAGATTACAAAACCTCAGGCATGGCCTTTCGTGAAGATCGTTGGGCATTGATCTGGGCCTCTCTCAAAAGGTTTCAAATCGCAGAGTTCATCTACTCATCGGCGAATTCATCTACTCATTGGTTTCATCGGTTGATTCAGCTACAGTAGCTACAGTAGGGCCGTCTTTCGGGTGGGTGCCTGTCGGCTTGCCTCTTGCCGGCCAGTGCACACCTGCCAGGCAGCTAAGCTTCGTTTTCGTGACCAGATCCTTCCATGTCGTCTTGCTGCATCCTAACTGGTCGGGATAGACCTCCACGGGGCGTGTCTCACTCCCGTTGTGTTCTCATAGGCCAACGGGGATGGCCAAGCGCCCCCGAAGACTTGGAGGATTCCGGGAAAGTTCACGGTGAACGCCGGTGTCCACGGACTGGGCGATGTCCAGCTATGCCTTTTGCAGGGGAGTGATGTAGTGCCCCTGCTTCGATCCGATGGAGCAGAGTCCGACATGGGATTCCACACAGAAATGGATTGCCAAACTTTGGGACATTTTCGGACCATCCGGATGGGCCCTTCCCTTCCCATCCCTCCCAGCCAATCCCACACTGACTGAGCAACACGACCGAAACCAACATCAACCGCAAACAACCCGAAATCAAGACACTGTGCTTAGTAAAAAACACCATGTGTTTTCACCATGTTTTTGATGTTTTTCCTTAAAGGCACCTCACTGGACCTCGACCGGCTCAGCTGGGGGCTTCGACAAATAGGGATGATTCCTTGGGTCTTGAAGCATCAGGCGTCCCAACGGCCTGCCATAACCCAGCGTCCGACGCGTCGACGCGTTGGGTGGATGGGTAGGTGGGTGACATCAAGCTGCTTGACTTGGCAAAGGGTGCCTTCCTTGAAAGGGCAACCTTTTTTTTCACCCTTGAAACCTTTTTTTTCACCATTGAAACCTTTTTTCCACCTCCACCTTTCTTTTTCACCCTCTGAACCTTCTTTTTTCACCCTCGAACCTTCTTTTTTGACCCTCGACCAATTCTTTTTCACCCTCCTTCCTTTGCTTGGTGCGTTGGTTGGTTGGCTAGCTTGTTGTCATGCAAACCAAATATCGACAGCCTTTGGGGAAAACACAGGATTGTGTGGTTTTGGTTGATTGGTTTGTTGGTTGCTCGGCGGGCTACCAGTGCAAGGCAAGTATCAACAGCATTTTTGGGGAAAACACAGCTTGGTTGCTACCCTTTCTTTTTCCCGAAAGCATTGCGAAGGGTTCTTCCGGAAAATCCTTTGAACACTGACACTTCGACACGTACACTTAGACACACCTAGACATTGACACTTTCACCACACACCTAGACATTGACACTTTCACCACACTGGCAGGATAAATAACATGAACGCTATACGTAGCCCTGTGTAAGTGGAAGAGCGAAAGCTGTCAAAGTATGCAAGTGGAAGAAGAGCGAAAGCTGTCAAAGTATGCAAGTGGAAGTATGCAAGTGTAAGTATGCAAGTGATGAGTACGCATGCAATGATGAGTATGCATGCAATGAGTATTGCAAGCATGCAATGAGTAGGCAAGTGAACTAGCACGGGAGATGTCCTAATGAAACTAGACGACGAGTGGCCCGAAAGCATTTTTCATCACGTAGGAAGTCAGAGTGCGAGTTATCCGGTAAGTGTGCAGTGAGAAGTGTGAAGTCGAGTGAGTTGAGGTAGTGTGTGGGTTTCTGTGCGTGTGTCTATGTCCGTGTGGAAATGAGTCTGCGTATGTGTGTGTTCGTGTAAGTTGAGGGAGTGTGTGGGTGTCTGTGTGTGATGCGGCCTCCCAAACCCCCCACCGGCGGCCAAGCGGTGACAGCCCAGCTCATCGTCGCGAGCATTTGGGCTGCTGGTAAGGGGACAATGGCAGCCAGCGTGCTGGCTTACCCACTTCAACTATGATGGCAGCCAGCGTGCTGGCTTACCCACTTCAACTATGATGGCAGCCAGCGTGCTGGCTTACCCACTTCAACTATGATGGTAGCCAGCGTGCTGGCTCGTACCCACTTCAACTATGATGGCAGCCAGCGTGCTGGCTTTGCCATCTGGACAATGGCAG